AGTAGTATGGAAGAAAGAGACAATGTTTCCAAGTCCCTTAAAGCTAAGTCTCTGATGGCCTACAGGAGTTGAATCAGACCATCTAGCTCCTCATTATATTCTAACCAGATAGGCAGCATGTCAGAGAACTCAGAACAAGAGTGCTGGGTAACTTCCAAGAGCACAGACCTGGGAAGCCGCAGTCCGCATTGAAACCATCGTTATTAATATATGCCTTTGCTAAAGCTCTTAAATCATTCAGCATTTCAACTTTCCTCATCTCTGCAATTGGAGGCACTAGTAACCCTTGATTAGATTACAGTGAGGACTGAATTCAAATGAAGGATATATGTCTACTGTAGGAGTTTATAATAAATATCTAATAGATGGAAGATGTCATTTTATGTTAGTTATTAATAATAGGAGTACCACCTGGGTCACTTCATGTCAGTAATATTATGCTTAAGTGGCATTGTATTGAAACCAAACATGATTATCCATACAAACATGTATTTGGTGTGTTATTCATCTTGTAAAACTTTTAATTGGGAATTTAGCAATAGACAAATGATATTCCATAATCAGAGCAGTACTCTCAGACCAACTTGCACTCTAACAATTAGTTTTCCTTTTCATGAGACTTAGCTCTAACCCAATAATGTCCGTATCTTGTACTAATCAGGATGAGCTATCCTCTGTTACAGCCCCCAAATCTTAGCACAACAAAGTTTTAGCTCTCAGTCATAAAAATGATCTACTGTGAGTACATCAGTATGGCAGCACTCCAGTGCACTCTCCTAAGTGGCGACTGAGGAATCCAGGCCCTTGGCGTTGTTGATCTCTCGTATCAGTGCATGGCCTCCGGGGTATGCTGTGTGAAGGGCAAGGGAGATCATGAAAACTTGCCTAAGGATGCTTACGGCCAAGTGTGTCTTCATTTCATTGATTGGAAACTGTAACTGCAAAGAGACTTGGAAATGGAACCTTCTACGGCCACTCAGGAGGGAAATGGATTTGGAAAACATAGCATTTTCTTCATGATATTCTTAATATTTAAGATTAAATAGTATTTATAGTGTATAAATTGCATAGTGTATAGTGTATAAATTGTATCTCTTTAGTTTTTACTATCCACATGTCACTCTCTTTAACTGTTTTAGATCATGAAACTTAAAACCAAGGTCTGTGTCATTCTCAATGCATAGTGCCTCATACATAGGTGTACAGGCAGTTGAATACGTGCTTTTCATATTGATGTTCAGAATGACAATAATAAATACATTTTGTTCACTCAATATAGATTATTGTGGAAGGGGGAAAGACAGTAAAGGAATTCATTATCACAGCCACTATTAGTTACAAACTGGAGAAACCCAGAAATAAGTATGGCACATGGGTGAAGTAGGTGATGCTTCCCATAGAAATTGTACTGTTCTACTCCCTGGCTTCTTATGCTTCCCAAATGTACTGCATAAAACCATTAATGCACATAAAAGATCTCAATGAAGAATGGAATCTTGCCTAACTAAGTAGGATAATTTGGCTGGCCAGATGAAGAAACTTCCTGAAGCAATTCTTAAAATAGAAAAAAAAAATATTAAGTCCCTATGCACAACCAATGAAAAAGGAAAATTTTCAGCTAAACGTGCAATGGTTTACCAGTTGCAAGCACATGAAGTACATACTCTATCAACTATCAGCATGTTATACATTTTTAAATAAGTGCTTCTTTTTTACAGAATGAGTAATCAGACTTGTTTACAGTTTCTCAGCTTCTGTCCCAACAAACAGCACCAGGGAGAGATTAGCCCTTGTGTAGGATGCCAGCCAAGTGATAATCTCTGTTGGATGAGTGGAAATAAACCATTGTTTTACAAATCTTGTTCTGGCTTTAAACATTTCCTTCTGCTTTCATTCTACAATTACAGCTGATGCATATCGGTCCTAACTCTGTGCAGAGTCCTAAGAGGCACCATTCTCATAAGGACCACCATGTTTTCCACACTGTTTGCATGGATGACATGTTTAGGTTGTCAATGTATCTACTCATTCCAGGACAGTCTTTTCAGAAAGAGATCTTGCATATGTAATCATCTTGCTTAAAATACTTTAAATGCTCCTCAGTTGTCATAGGATGAAGCCTTTGCAGCCTGAGATTGTCAGGCCCTTCACTGCTGGTCCAGCCCTCGTCACATCACAGGGCCCCTGCCCCTTACTCTGTGCCTATCTTCTTTTCCCAATTCCCTGTATTACCTCTCTCTCTGAAGCCCACTCTTTCTCCTAGTTGTAGCTCAATTGTCACCTCCTCAAAACTCCTTTTCTGATCTTTCAGATTAGATTGAAAATCCCTACTTTGTGCTTTCTTGTATCATGTGCCCCTTCTCTATGACTTCACAGTGCAGTATTCTGTGTATCTATGCAGCTACGTGACTGACATGTGTGTCATGTAACAACTTTAAGTTTCATCAAGCCAGAGATGATACTGATCTTAGACTTCTTAGCAAGCATGGTTCTTGGGACACAGCAAGTCCAAAAACCACATTTCATTAAAGGCAGAGAAGGATAGGAAGTCAACCAGCCTTTACTTTTCAAAGACACTTCCCAGGTCAGCATCTCTCTGGTTTCTGGGCTTCTACAGCCCTACTGTTGGTTGTTCACGCTGAGCAGCCTAGTTTCTCCAGCTGAGTTTGCTTGCAGTTGTCCCAATTCTGCTCATTATTGTGCCTGATAACCTGCAAGTCATTGATCCCTCATTCAGCCAGCTCCTGGATACTCATCACAGGCTCAGCAGGGGCCTGGCCCTCGTCCAGGTCACCTTCTGTAAGCACTGAGCGTGACACTTCATATTTAATATTGTTGCCAGGAAACGCTGATGAAGCCGTTCACAAATCTAGGCAATGGCAGGGAAAACGTCATTCCCCAATAAATGCTTCCCACACCTGGGTTATACTCACCCCAACAAGCTTTTTCCTTTCAGGATTTTTGCCTCAGACTGAGATTCACAGCTTGAATTCAAGGCATTGCCTCTGAATCAACTATCCTGTCACTATTTCTTTGCATGCCTGCATTAAGAAAAAAAAGGACTCTTAAGTTTATCAAGCCAAAACAAGTCCTTAAACTTCAGAAGGGTTAAGTTGAAAACTATCCATAGATGTCTTCAGAGATTGTGATTGTTTCTTCAAGGCTCTGACAGACAGATTCCTTGGTAAGGTTAACAGCACATTTCAAACTAAATGTTCTAGAATACTGGGTACTGGAGAACCTCCCAGGGAGGCCCCAACCATAACTTGTTTATAGAAATGTCCTAGTACGGATACTCATAGTTCTGGTTTATTTTAAATTATAGCTAAATTATATCTTAAACTTGACCCAAATTCTAAATTAATCCTAACTCTTTCTGCATAAAAGCCCACAATCACTGTAAGTCAGAAGAACAGGCATTCCCAAATCACTCGATTGTTACTATTTGTCAAGAAACTGGCAAGAAACGTGCCATCTTTACAGACCAAGTGAGAAGACACTTGGGAAAGAGCTCATTATTTTGAGATTTCTCCCAATGAAGATCTGAATCCCTAAGCCTTCCTTTGTTGGTTTTTTTTTTTTTCTGATTTTTTTTTCTTCTGATCCTGTCTTTCTTTACAGACCAAGTGAGAAGACACTTGGGAAAGAGCTCATTATTTTGAGATTTCTCCCAATGAAGATCTGAATCCCTAAGCCTTCCTTTGTTGGTTTTTTTTTTTTTCTGATTTTTTTTCTTTCTGATCCTGTCTTTCTTTCTGAGTTCCCACCTGGTCCTCCTATCTAACTTTGTTTTTGTTTGTTTGTTTTTTTGTTTTGTGTGTTTATTTTATACTAATTGTACTTTTATTCATGCATGTCTTTAGCTTGTCCCCTAAATTTTGACTTATTTCAGGCTGCATGCATTCTTGATAATAAATCTTCTTGACTTGTTCCTAAGACACTTCCCTTTGAGTTTCCCTGATGGATTTACTCAGACCTCAGAGGGTCAAGTTTACACATACCTTGAGATATGTTACCAACTGATTATAAACCTTTTTATGGTTCTGACTTAAGCACCCAGACTTGCACACATGCCCACTAACTCTCAGTTTCTTTTGCAATAAAATCTCTTCCTTAATGGTGAATTCATTTATAGCGAGAACTATTCACAATGTAGGCCAAGTTAGCTGCATATTGATAATGACATGGGGACAAAAGCCATAAAACATGGACTTATGTGGGTCATCTTAACTATAGCTACCCTGAAGTATGCTTCAGACCACTTGAATAATAATGAAAGCACTTAATGTATGTAAATAAGGGAAAATTAAAAGTTTTTGCTCATTTATATGCTTTCCTAAGTGGAAATATTTAATTTTGTTTGTTTCAATTATTAATAGTCTTGGATAGACTCACATGAACCTTGTCATAAGGTACCAGCATTATGGGGTTAATGCTTTAAAGTTAAGTGCACATGAGCTAGATGAATGCAACTGAATTTCAGAAAATTAAAATTAAATTACTGTGAAAATTAGGGTTAATAATTTGTATCAAGTCACTTTATGTTAGTTTATGTATTTATGACACACAACATCATAAACACAATAGCATTATAAAATGCATTTTAACTTAACACCATTCAGATGTATATAAGGTAGCTACTATTAATTTGTAGATTATCTAACTCAATGCTTCTCAAAAATGTCATGAAAATGCTAGTGGGTGGGCCATAGTACAACGCTATAATTTTAATGGACACTGAGATGTTTTTAAGGATGAAAGGGGCTCTGTTATTAATTGCATGGAGACAAGACATTAACTGATGTCACTCTCTTCCATGAATTTCCAAAGAAGCCTGACTCTCACTTACTACCTTTAGATACATCCTCTTCCTCATCACTCAGGACCTAGAAACCTATTCATTTTTGAAACTAATCCAAAATAAAAAATACCCATCTAAGGTCATTTCAATGTAAAACCTTGACAACGAACTTTCAGTTGGTATCTTAGTCACTTATTACCTTGATTTCTGATTTTGATAGGTGGGAACCCGGACAAAAGGCCTGTCTTGAGGTTCCACATGCCCTGCAAATTCCCTCTGTCCCTGAAACTCCTTGGACATGGTCTGAATCCTGGCCTGATCCTCTAATAAACATGCTGGTCAGCTGTAAGAACTGGCATTTCTGGAGCAGGAGGAGTTTCTTTTCTCAGAATTTTTTTCAAGTAGTATCTAGAGAAGCAAAGGGGCAGGGGATTTGGATTCATGACAGAGTAGCATGTCTAGTTTGGGGAGTTGCATCTTACCTTTTCCTCAAAAAGATAACTACAAGAATTTTTCTGCGTCCTAGACTTCTAGAGGGAATCTATAACTAATCCAAGAAGGAACACAACCTGAAGACCTTAGGGAGAATTATCTGTAACAGGCAATCTTACATGACTATAGTATGCTACAGGCATCAAGATACAATTTTCTGGTAAGTGATGTTTTTCTGTTATAAAATTGTTCTAAGTTATGAATATTGTTAAAGGGAGAAAATAAATGTGGTTACATTGCTCTGTTCCCAGGAAGACTATATTTTGAAAACATTTATGTAGAAAACTTATGGAGGGGCTCACAAACATTATGGTTACATTTATAATGATATACCTCTATGTAGCATTCTTTACTACTTCTATACCACTCCCCCAGTGGATATATTTGGAGATGGAGCTTTTAAGAAAACAATTACAGTTAAAGAAGATAATCAGTATAGGTCTCTGATTTAAAATGGTTAGAATCATTGTAAGAATGGACACCACTGTCCCCACATGCATGGAGGAGAGGTCATCTGAGCACACATTGAGGAGATGGCCATCTGCAACCCAACGGGAGATCTTTCCTCAACCCTGCTGCTGCCTTCATCTTGGACTTCTAGTCTCCAGAGCTAAATTTCTGTTGTTTAAGCTTCCCAGAATCTTACATTTTGTTATGGCAGCCCGAGCACACTAGTGTACCCTGCCACCATGTGACTTTTAGAATTCATGGAATCATCTCTGCCATTTTTGCCGCCATTTTCTAGATTTTGTCCTTTTCCTTGAAAAAAAAAAAAAGCAGATGGAGTGGCAATACTGTTTCTAGTGTGACCTCACCAAAGAGAAGCAAGTGGTAAGTTATTTAATAAGTCTGTTAAGCATGAGGCACATCTCTAGAAAAGCCTGATGTCTATATGCTTCAGTATTTCATGTACCAGTAATGATACTCAGAATCCCTTCTCTATTTTCCACTTGGATCTGAGTTCCTAGAGCTTTAGCCACAGAATGCTAAAGAAGAAAGAGAAAAGTGGCTTTGAGGCCCATCTTCTTTGTTCTGAGCTTCATGCAGTGAGCTTTATTCACATGCATTTCCTATTTAATTGTCCTTGCTGTGTGATGAGATGGAATTTTTAGGGATGATATTGAGGAATATTAATATCAAGCCTCTGATGTTGTCTAGAGCTTGATCTCTCTTGTACCCTGACTCAGAGTTTTCTTCAATGCCAATAATTAATTGCTTATCTTCTGAGTTAGCTCATGCCCTTCATCTGTCTGTTCTCTTTATGCATATTTGGTGCTCTGGCCCTATAATAACCAACTTCTTGAATAACTATCAATACTGTTGCTTTTTATTCCTTTTACTTTAATTGTCTACCTAAATCCCAAGTAGGGCTAAATCCAGTTCCTTGTCTACTCCATCTAAGTACTGGATGGGTGAGTTTGACTGCCACACAGTAAAGTCATGTCTATCTATCCCAAGACCCATTAGTACATCAGGGGACATCTCTGCCCCTCCTTACTCCATTCACCTTCCCACTGCCTTTATTATTTCATATCTTTATCCTTCTCAAATCCCCCAAATTCATCCACAATTCTCAAATTAATTATCTCAATGATAAAACAAACCATATAACGTCTTTATTTAATCACACTCATAATCCTAACCTGGCTACACAAACACCCAAATAACTTGCCTTTAATAATGAGCATAAATATTGCCTCTCTTCTACTTGTTACTCTTCCTCTTTCCACTACCAAAGAACAGTCCAGCAATTGGCCTCCATCATCTCATCTTCAATCTGCACTGAGTCATCTCATCAGCATACAAATATGCTGCAGTTTCTCCCACTTGCTGTACTTTCTTCTGGGCTCCATTCCACCATATTCAGCATTTCACTTCTTTGTCACTTTTCACAGCAAAACTTTCAAAATTATCTACAATTCTTATTCAAATCCATTTCAGTCTGAATTTCACCTCCATTACTCCTCCAAAATTTCATTTGTCAAGGTGACAAAATATTAAGAGCAAATATTTGGTGTATAAATTGATAAACACTGCATCTAAGGAGGTCAATGAACCAAAATAACCTTTGCCTAAGTCATGATTTTGCTGAAGGCTAAGCATGGTTAAATATTAATGATTACTCTCACTAGCACTGCACAGTAACAATTACAAAGGTAAAGAAATGACTCCTTTTCTTAACAGAAAAGAATATTACTAAAAATAAAATCAAGTTTCTAGGAAATTAATCACTACATGATTTTCATCAACCACATTAATGAGCCTATTGATGTGTTAATAAACTCATTGTTAATTTCTGACAACTTTCAAGACATTCTTAATCACGAAAAGAATGATTCATAGATTGGTATGCAAAGGGATTCACCAAGCATAAGCATTGGAGTGTGGCTAAAAGGACATATGTGCAAACTCCAGTACCTCAGAGAGAGAGAGAGGAGAGAAGAGAGAGAGAGAGAGAAAGAGAGAGAGAGAATGAGAGAGAGAGAGAGAGAGAGAGAGAGAGAAAGAGATGCATCAGTATGAATCACCATGATACAGAATTTCTTTTTTGGGGGGGGAATTTATTTTTTTATAATTGTATTGGAGTATATCATGACATTTACAAAAGTTCTTATAATATATCATACTTGAATTCACTCCTTCCATCATTCTCCTTTATCCTTCTCCCCTCATTCCTGGAATAGTTTCAACAGGTCTCATTTTTCCATTTTTTTACATGAGTACATAATATTTCCACAATATTCACCCTCCTACACCCTTTCCTTGTATCCTCCCCCTTCTCACTGGTACTAACCCTCCAGACAGGATCTGTCCTGCCTTCCTATCCTCAGTTTTTGTAAAAAAATATGACATTTTTACTTGTTTAAGAGATTATTGTGGGGCAGCTGATAGGCAGAGAGCTCATGAGAGAAATTTTTTGCACTATCCAGGCATATGATACCTTGGGCTCCTTAATAAACCAAGGCTAATTGCCTTCATATTCTTTCTCCTGATGATTTTAATAGAATTGATCGTGATATCAAAATAGTAAAGAATTGTAAACTTTTATAAGTGTAATGTGAAAAAATTACAAGTAAGCTTAAAGTGATAACTTAGAATAAGTTTACATCAAATAAATGTTTTTAGGACTGGGGGGTGTTTCTCAGAGAGGGCTTGTCTAGAATTCACTAGACCCTGGGCTCAATTCCCAAGACTACTAAAAACTGTTTTAAAGTATGTTAAAATTGTGTAAAAGATTGTTTTTGTTGTTACTTTGTACTCATGACATACAAGAAGAGAATTGAAGTGATAATGTTTGAATATAAGTGGTATAGACTTTAGCTGTTAAATTTCACCAATTTTCTGAAATCAGTCCCTCTGGCATCCATCAGGTCTACAGCAGAGGGTAGAGATGATGTTGGGAGGTGGCTTAAGTTGATCCAGTCAGTCAGTATCAAAAAATACCGCCTGCTGCAAGCATTTGACTTAGCATGTGAAGGGCACTGTATTAGCCATCAGCACAGTGTGAACAAACCCCAGATTGCCATCAGTGTCCTCCAAAAAATTTTATGAGTGTTCTCATAAAATTGCAAGAGTCTATATTTGCAAAATTCCAAATTTTTGTATCATTATAAAAATCCATATATTAAAACAATTTCCCATCATTTATAGATCCTTTTATTAATTATTTGATTAGAACAGTGTATGTGGTAAGATTTGAAAGAACTTGAGGGCACAATTAATCAGGTCTGAAAAAAAAAGTATTCTGAGCATGCTAGATAGTCCCTAGGGGAAGGAAAATAAATTTTGTTTTTCTCATTCTTGTAGGTATTATACTATCCTCGTAAATTTCTTAGATCGTTAACTCTTATCTGTAAAGATAAATCTGAAATTAGCTCTTCCATTTTATCACAATTTTCTAAGGGTTAAAATAACTTATAAGCAGAAAGTGGCCCTGAGATGGTTCAGAGGACAATGATCAAGCATGACCATCCAGATCATCGATACAAATAGCACTGATGGCAAGGCAAGGACTTCAATTAGACTTTCGCTGTAGGATCAAAAGAGAGATCCCAAACAGTCTAGTTCTTATCCCGCCAAAGTCACTGTGTGACCTGGAAATCTACATTTTGCCTTTTCTCCATGTATTCTCACCACACACTACAGTTTGAGAACTTCTAGTCTCTAGATTAAAGCTGGTCAAAGGCATTTTTCCCCAGTTGTCCCCAAATTTCAAACTGTACCTGTAAGCAGTGGGACTCTAATTTCTTTGTAAGTTAAATGAGAAAGGAGAGCCCATCCTTGATGTCTCAGCTGCCTGCATTAAGTTAATTAAGGAATAGATGGAAATATGTAGTCGAACACAAGCCAGCAAGCCTGTATCTGTTCATTCAAGTGCTTTCTTCAAAACTTTTTTTCTTCCACCTATTTAGCATTCCATGAATGAACAATTCTCTCCAGATTATTACATCCTTTATGAGACTAAAGTTCTGCCTGTTGACTACCTGGTATGAATTATAGTTCAATAATGGGAGCAAGAAGAAGAAGACAGAAGACAAGAACAGAAGAAGAAGAACAGAAGACAGTTCTCTTTACTAATAATCATGTGTGCTTAACAATAAGACATTGATTTCTTTCAAGTGAAGCAGATAATTCAATTTAATCTGGTTGAATTTTTTTTATTATTTTCACATACTCCTTATTTTCCCAATAGGATTTAATCCTTAAAAGATTCTTCTAACATTTAAATTTTATGCAAAACTGAAGTGAATCAAGACAAATATATTCCTTTGTAGTTTTTTTTCCATCCCATACAATTTTATTAAGTA